CCTGGTGTATTCTTTAGTAAAAGGTGTGGCGGGACAGAGATTGTTCTGACTCAATTGACCTTTGAGCCGGGCGCACCGCACTGTGGGAGTTTAGGCCCAACCTTTGTGCTCGGCAGCCTCAATCTCAGAGCCTGGCGCCCTGCACTTTGGGGTTTTACGCCCAAGTTTTGTGCTTGGCAGCCCTCCGTCACGAGCGGCTCCCCGCATCCCATGTGCTTATTGGCCATTTGTCTAGCTTCCTTGGAGAAATGTCTATTGAGGCTCCTCATGCATTTTTAAATTGAGTTGTTTATCTTTTTATTATTGGGTTGCAAGTGTTCTTTATATTCTAGATTCAAGTCTCTTATCAGATATAAGATTTGCAAATATTCTTCCCCATTCTGTGGGTTGCCTTTTTCATTCTATTGATAGTGTCCTTTGATGCACAAAAGACTTTAATTTTGACAGAGTCCAATTTATCTTTCTTCCTTTTGTCATCTATGTTTTTTGTGTCATTTCCATTAAATCATGGACAAATTTAACATCACAAAGCTTTTACTCTATGTTTTCTTCTACAAGTTTTATAGTTTTAGCTCTATGTCTAGTTCTTTGGTCTATTTTGAGTTAATTTTTGTACATGGTATAAGGTAAGAGTCCAAAATTGCATGTGGCTGTCCAGTTTCCCCTGGTACTGGGTTTTTAAATACTTGATATTGAAAACAATGTTGTATCCAATGTTTTCCCTTTTAAAATTAATTATAAGATTATAGATACATACTATAACAATCAATAAATTACTACATATAATATTACCTTTCCTCAGACATATATAATCTTACACTTCTGGACTGAAATTAAGCATTGTGGTAGATCATACTTAGATAGATCATACATAGTTCACAAATTCACTGCTCCTCTCTGCAGGAGGAGAATCCTTTCCTATTCTGCTGACAGCAAGCATGGCCTTGTCACTTGCTTTGGCCAATGACATCTGACCATAACTTACCATACTCTCTTCCCCACTATCTCCAGACCAGCCAAGTCCCAGTTAGAGGCTGCCTCATCAGCCTGGATTATAATGAAGACAACAAAAAGGAGATGGGCAATTGGCCCATAGTAGACAAATAATGGAAACAAAGATAAATGTTTGTTGTGGTGAGCTACAAAGATTTTTGAGGTTGTTTGTTACCACAACGTAACCTAGACTGTCCGGACTTATATGAGAATGAATAACAAGCAGTTCAGATGAACAATTAGCATTGCACAGTTCAGCAGTGTAGACTATTTAGTATACTGGTTAAGAGGATGAACTCTGGAGCCAGACAACCTAGGTTTGGATCCTAGGCCCCTACATAGTGACTATGTGACCTTGGAAAAGTCACTTCCTGTCTCTGTGCCACAGTTCCTTCGGTGATAATAGTAGTTACCCTATGGAGCTGGTTTCTGGTTTAAATGAATTCTCCTTTGTTTAGAAGGAAGAAGGAAGGGCCAGATGTAAGCAGTATTTCCTAGTTTGGGTTCCCCAGAGGGCCAAGGGCCCATGAGCATTACTTCCTTAGGGATACAGTCCATGGTAGCAGGCATGAGTGAGAAAGGATATGAAGCAAAAAAGGCTGTAAAATTAATAAAACTGTGCATGATCAAGCTTGCTGCCACCAAGCGCAATGAACTGCTTGATCACTGGGACTACTCACTTTAGAAGATGCAGAAACTGTGCCTCACAACTTTCCTCAGAAGGGAGAAGGGAAAAGTGTTTCTACTGGCTTCTTATTCCACTGTCAAATTTCACCCAATAGTGAGTAGCTTCCCAGAAATTCTGGTGGTCCAGGCATGGACTTGGATGTCAAATGGTGAAATCAACAGCAAAGTCCTTAGGGCCAGGTGTGACACATGCTCCTGACATGCATAATATGAGATACTGGTTGCTTACATCACTACTATTATTTGCATCATACATATAAACCAAGCATTTCTATAATTAATTCTAAGAAGTGGAAAGAATTGCTCAGCACAGCAGGGAGCTGCTCCTTTGAAAGTTGGTGGTAAGAGACTTTCGGCACCAAGCCTCCCAGCGTTTAGCTACAGTGGTACACGGCGCTGGCGTGCGGAATTCGGGATGGGTAGTTCTCTCCGGCTCCTAGTCCTCACACAGATAAAACAGGTGCCGTGTGGGGTGAATAGGTCTCCCCCGCTTGTAGACCTCACACACAGGTAAGTTCTGACTGTTAGAGCGGGAGTCCTCAGAATGGGGCAGCCTCGTCTCTCCCTCTAAGAGTGGCATTTAATCCTTATCAGATATACTAAACTAGACCTCGGGTTAAGGAAAGTTATAGTCACATCTACGCAGGCCTCCATCTCCTAATTTTCTTCTTAAGCTCCCAGCTTTTATGTTAAGTTCCAGATATATTTCCCCAAAAGTTTTGATTTAACAGGAGACTCCACTTACCAAGTATCTTCCGGTAAGAGAAATATATATACATAAACAAGCAGGTATTCCTGTATAAGAGAAAAAATACATAAATACATAAATAAATAAAAGAGCGAGAGGTTGAATTACTACATCCCTTAAGACACATGCAAGAAATGCAATTATTTTATTTTTCATAGGCATTGCATACACACGGTTTCAAAAATAATTTTAAAAAATATATTGAAGGGCATACAGTGAAGTCTTGCTCGCTTCCCCAGTCTGCCTGCTGACTCTCACCACCGCAATCCTACACGTATTAGTTTCTTAGGAAGCGCCCACAAGCAGACACGAGCAAACATGAATATGTACTCATCTCTATTCCTTTCTTACACGAAAGGCTGAGTACTAAATTCCATGTACTTTGCTTTTCTCAGTTAACAATATAGCTGAGAGATCATCTGTAATCACTAAAGAAAGTTTCTTAAATCTTTTTACAGCTGCGTAATATTTCATTACACAGATGAAATGCAAGTTATTTAACTCATTGTTGATCGATAGCACATTCAGTTATCAGTATTTTGTTACGACAAAAATTCCACAGTGGATAAAGTTGTGCTAATGACATAAATGGAAGCACTGATTGAGACTAGGGTGGGGGTGGGCGGCTGACCAGGGGAACAGTGAGGTGGGCAGGGCTGGAAAGGAGACACGAGGACATCTCTGTGGAAAGCTGGGTAATAACACAGTGAAGTTGGGGGTTGTGAGGGGGGAAGGAAAAGTACCCAGAAGTGAACTGGAGACCTGGTGCCACAGAAGGAGACCCAGGAAGGCAAGTGGCCAGGAGAGGATGAACAAATGAAGGGGACAGGAACAGGGATGAGGCATCAGTGACCTTGAAAGGACTGAAGAACGTGAGAAATGCAGAGAGAGGGACAGAGGCTGCCTCTGCCCCCACGCTCTGCACTCCCCTCAGCCCAGCCACCCAGCAAGGCCACTGTCTCTGCCACTCCAGCTCCCGGCACAGCAGCTCCACGGCCCCACCTCCCTTGTGGCAGCAGCACAACACGGGTGCCATCAGCTGAGAAAACACCTCCTTCCTTAGCCCTTCCTCCCACACCCTGAGGAAGTCCACAGATTAGAGGTGTCTCTGTATTTTAGAAAGTCACCTCTGCAACTGTAAACGAGTCCAGACTGTGGAGTGAGTTCATTCTCTAAACTTTGCCACCAAGAAAATATGCAGAGAATTACTAAAGCAACAGGACTCTGGGACAGGAAATCAAGAGAGTATGTTTGAGCCACAGAAGAAACAGGAAGCTTTACGCTGTCAGAGGACACAAAACACAGGGCAGTTTACAGGACGATGATTCAAGAACCTGGACTCAAGTAGTCATTCATTTCTGGAGTCAGAGAATATTTTTCTTAGCCTTTCCCATTCAAAAATCTAGATATGACATATTTTATTTTAAATTTAATTTTTAAATGTTTTATTTTGAAATGAATCACAACTTCAGAAAAGTATATACACATATATAAAGTGAATTTTTAAGTAACAACCTATCATTAAAGCTACAGTTAAAAACTATACCATAACCTTAAAAAAAAAAGCAGCGATCATCTTATAAGACAGTAAAAACTTGAAATGTAAATCTTCTACCATACATATGTACATAATAAACATTAGTATTTGGGCTTATTCTTACTTATCATCTCTTTCTTTTACTTCTTTTAAATTTGCATTCTTTTGCATTGAAGTATAGTCAGTTTACAATGCTGTGTCAATTTCTGGAAAACTACCGTAACTTAAAAGGCTTCTGTTGCACACAGATTATTTGATGATGATTATGATGCAACACAGAGATAAGTACTTTTCAAATCATTCTAGAATCCAGAAGGTATTAAGAAGTGATATGCCTTAAGGCAAGACTAGTTCCTGAACAGATGACAGCAGCGCTTCACTCCATCTCGAAGTGCCTCTATGACTGTCATTTCGGAGGGTGAAGATGAAAAGGTTTGAGGAAAGGAGCCACTACTGAAACCATCAGGGAAACAACCCTGTTGTAATCGGCTGCCTGGGTTTGCCTGGGCTTCACGTAGAGGAACAAGCAGCTGCCGTAGCCGATCACCACACAGGTGAAGTGGGAGGCACATGTGGAGAAGGCTTTCCTGCGGCCAGAGGCTGAGGGGATCTTAAGGATGGTGGAGATGATGTAGGTGTAGGAGACAATTGTAGGGATCAAAGAACCGAAAAGAACGAAAACAGCCATTAAGAAGAGGATAAACTCTATGAAGAGTATCATTGCAGGACAGTTTGAGCAACTGCCCTCTGCCACAGAAAAAATTGTTTACCATATTTGATTTGCAGTAGGAAAGCTGAAATGTGGCATAAACTGGCCAGATTTCAAAAAGGAACCCAAACACCCACGACACAGTCACCACAATGTTGCAGGTGCGGCTGTTCATGATGACGTTGTACCTCAAAGGGCTGCACACAGCCACGTAACGGTCCACGGCCATCGCTCCCAGTAATGCAAACTCTAATGTACCCAAAGAAAGGTACCGATATAGTTGTACACCACAAGCTATCAAAGATATTGCCTGCATCCCAGGGAGCAGCAATCCCCAGAGCATCAAGGGGACGGCAACAGATATGATCAGGATCTCTAGGACAGAGAGGTGACCGAGGAAGAAATACATGGGGGACTGCAGACGTTTATCAACACAGACAATCACAATGGTGACTGTGTCTCCCATTACTGTCACTGAGTAGAAAAGGATGAAGGTAGCTAGCAATACATGGCGTAATTCTTGAGAGCCAGGGAAGCCTAAGAGATAAAATTCAGTGGCACCAGAGTAATTCCCCAACATTTAGTTTTGAGTGCTTGTTCCTTTTGAAATCTAGAGAACAAAAGAGAGATAACACTATCACTGATCTCAAAAAGTGGAAACAGTTCCGGGTAGAGAAATGACTCCCCTCCTATTGACAGCCTCCAGAACATGACCAGGAAGGGTTCATGCTCTGCTGTTCCCCCAGCATGGTCAGGGCTAATTATTTTTTTTAGAATATACACGATATATGAAGAACACTGAATCTGACCAAGATGAGCCCAGTCACCAAAGCTATGCCATAGGCGAGACAGCCAGCCCCCGGTCCAGCATGCATGACCCGCATCTCAATCCACAGGTCACCCTGCCTCCCACTCTGGTCTTGAAAAGGCACCCAGTCCACCTCCTGACAACAGGGTGCTCCTTTTGACCACTACATCCTTTCCATCTGGAATGAAACTCCCTGCTCCACCACATGCATTCTGTCCTCTGAGTCTGCTCCAGGATAGAAGAGTTTTCCTGCCCAGTCCTACCCAGAGCTGGTTCTGTGTTTACTTTTTCATGACATAGAGTCCCTTTGCACTATATTCGTTTTAAAGCTTCTCCTTCATGTCTATCATCATTGGCATCACTGTGGGCATGGAGGTAGGAATCGCTTTGAGGATTTTCTGTAAGAGACTGAGGGCAAGGACAGAGTCTTCCTCAGTCTTCTGGTCAGCTAGTTGCCTAGCTGAATTACCACTTTCTTCCACTCTATTCTTGGAAGTGAAAGTCTGCTTTGCTTTGCTCTTCTGTGAATGTGTCTTCTAATAAAACGCAGACTAACCAGCACCTGGGCTTAGGCAGTCAGAATCCTCTCTCTCCCAGACTCTGATACCACTAATCACCAGATTCACAGGAGGAGTGTGTAGAGGAGGGCACGGGAGGAGTTCCCAGCCTCACTCTCCACCTATCCCACATCGACCTCCTACTGGGACCCTCACGCTGGGACTGGGAGACAACAGACTAAAGGTTCAATTTCAACATCCCCTGCCTTCATGACAGCTCAAAACCCTAGATCCAGCAGGGAGTTAAGGCCACCAGATGTGAACTCTTGGTCCAGCCCAGGCCCTACATATAAGTGGTCACAGGCTCAGTTTAACAGAAAGTTCAGAAAGTCTCCCCAGAGCCAATGTTCCTTCTACAATCAAGTTTTTCCTCCAAAATCATATAGAAAAGTAGTAATTCAGCTGTCACTGACATGAAGTAGACCCAAGGACCTGAAACTCGTAGGATCTGGGCTCCATCCCTCACTTCCTTCATGCCTTTGCTCAAGTGCCCAGCTCCGGGAGCCCTCCTTCATCATCTGAAGAGAACATACCGCCCTTTGCTTTCTCTCACCTCACTAGGATGTATTTATCTTCTCAGCTCTCATCATTGAAAATTATGCTTACTTTTTGTTTATTTTCAATCTCTATTTTATAATGAAAGCAGAAATTTTGTCCTACATGTTTACTGTTTCTGATACTTGTTGAATATTTTTGAACGAATGATCAGTGACTCAATCAATAAAGGGAAAAAAATCTATGGACAAAGCTTACCTAGTCCTGGATTTGGCCAATTTTGAAGCAAACCACCCTTCTGTCTTCACTGAAACACCACCCTGTCAACATGCAGTCCTCTCTCAAGATCCCTTATGAAAGGTAGTTTCTGCTGGGAGAACTCAGTAGTCTGCCTTCCACGATTTCTGTTTAGCCAGGACCAAATGAAAAGAAAGAAAGAGAGGAGGCTCCTAACCATAGCAAGGAGCTGTGCCTACATCCAGCATTGAGCCAGGGAAGGGCTGAATCTGTTCTCTGCTGTGCAGGGGAGTTTGGAGATGAGCCCATCCTTCAGGCTGTAGGCGTCCTTGTTCGAGACATCAGCCAGGCCCACAACTTCCTGTCCTGATCCCCTCCTACTCTCTCCTTCACAGAGGGGAACTCCTGAAAGCTACCCACTTCCAGAGGAGGGCACTGGCCTGGAAAGCTCTATGGCTCCCCAGGCCTCGGCCCAGGCTGCCTCCTGTCTGACTAGCGCTGAGCATGCTCCGTGGGCCAGAGCAAGCTGCTGCCGTCTTCACTCTCAGTGCAGGAGAGAACCGCTCACACCAGCAGTTAGGGAAAGTCCGGTAGTGATAGTGCCCTGGGGACTTTCTCCCTCCTTCTTCCTCTTTCCTGTGTCCCCAGGGAGACTTACTGAGGAACTAAATCTGTCCAAGTTCAGGGAAACCCGAGGGATGCAGTCAAGGGAAAGCCAGAGAAACTTTCAGCCCTTCTCTCCTGAGGCTAATCAAATTTTAGAACTCTTCAAAGTTTTGTTTTTTTTTTAATGGTCAAACTTGAAATCTCACTTGTCAAGAGTCTCTCAGCACCCAGACTGTCTTCCTCCCAGGTCCCAAGTCCTGTTTTTACCACAAAACAGTTCAAAACAACTTCCTGTCCTTTTCTGTGTCTCTCTCTAATTCCATTTACCTCATAGAGCCTAAGATACCAAGGAGAAGGCATCAAAAACAATTCCAAGATACACATCGAAAACCCACGGACCAGGGATGGGCAAGTGACCTGAGCAGCATGGTGGACTATGCAGCTCCAAGCTCCTGTCCCTCCAGAGAAACATTACAAAACAAGAAGATCTAACTGTAAGAACTCTGGAACACATTCAATGGCTTATAGTTGGGGGAAGGGTATATCTCAAGAAGTAGAGCCCATGCTTAGCTTGCACGAAGTCCTGGGTTCAATCCCTGGTACCTCCCCCCAAAATAAATAAATAAACCAAACACCTCCCCTCCTAAAAAAATTTTTTTAATTAAAAAAAAAGACTTATAGCAACTAAAGAAACACTGATTCAAGAAAAAGGCAACTTAAAAATGTTAGGAAAGCTTGGTGGTATTTTTATTTACCTTTGTTCACATTCTCCCCAGCTCAGCAGCAATCTTGAAAATGACAATCTATGTTCTCAGTGTGGGACTCTAGTCTCTGGTTTTAGAGATAGGAGAACAGACCTTATTTACAAAGTATTATGCGTGTCTGTTCTCATCTGTCAGGGGCTACCTGAAAGATTAACGTGGCTGCTTGTCTGTTTCACCCAACACAAAACTCATTCAGGCTAAAAAAGCAGTGGGCATCGCTCACACCGGTTTTTGCTTACAAAAAACCTGCAGCCACCTGGAGCAGAAGATTATTGTTGAGACACACAATAGACTATCTAAAGCCTCAGAGGGAAAGTTGGGGAAATTTTCTTTGAGAAAATAGAGGATTTAAAAGCACCTTGTATACTGGGGAATTTAGAAGACCACACACAAGTAGAGGGCAAGATGCATGTTCATAAAAGACCTGACAAGATCTGAACTTTTTACTTTAGGTAGAATAAACTCAGAGAGAGATCCAGGCACGTTATAATCAGTAAAAAGACAAACACAAAGAGATGACACTAAAAACAGTAAGAGAGAAGCACCTTGTCACATGCAAGGACTCCTCATGAGATTAACAATCAATTTTTCATCAAAAATTATGTAGCATAGAGGACAGTGAGGTGGCATATTTAAAGTGTTAGAGGGGAAAAAAATAACCAAAAATTCTGCATCCAGCAAAACTTTCCTTCAAAAATGAAAGAGAGTTGAAGAAAACCTCAGATAAACAAAAGCTGAAAGCATTTTTTTGTCTTTTGTGTTGAAATAAAAGGTCACTCACTAGACAGTAACTTGAAGCCCTATGAAGGTATAAATATCACTACTAAAGGCAACTACATAGGCTAATGTAAAGCCAGTTATATTGCATTTTTTGTCTTTCTCTAACTCCCGTTTATTTTCTATGTAATTTAAAAGATAAATGCATAAAAATAATTAAAATTCAATCTATCTTATTGGACATATAATGTGCAAAGATGTAAAAACATAAAAGAAGGGAAGGGAGAATGATGCTATATAGAACAGAGTTTTTGTATTGTATTGAAATTAAGTTGGCATCAATTCAAACTATATTGTTATAATTTAGGATATTAAATATAACCCCCAAGGTAACCAGAAAGAAAATGTCTAAAACATCTAAAAATATCTAAATATCTAAAATGTATAAAAATATATATACAAAAGGAAACAAGAAGGGAATCAAAGAGTTCAATATAAAAAAAAAAAATCACCTAAACAATAAAGAAGGAAGTAATGGAAGGAAATGGAGTAATGAAGAAATGAAAGAAAAACAAATGACATATAGAAAACAAACAGCAAAATGCCAGAAGTAAGTCCTTCCTTATCAGTAATTTAAATGTAAACGATTAAACTCTTTAATCGAAAGTCAAAGACTGGCAGAATTGTTTTAAAAAATCATCCAATTATATACCGTCTATATGAAACTCACTTTAGATCCAAAGACACAAATAAGCTGAGAGAGAATAGAATGAAGAAAACACTCCATACAAATACTAACCAAAAGAGAGCTGGGTGGCTATACTAATATCAGACAAAATGGACTTTAAGCCAAAAACTGTTATAAGAAACAAAATATATGTTTAAAAAGGTCAATTGAGCAAGAAAATATAACAGTTATAAAAAATATCTGCTCCAACAACAAGTCCCACAATATGTGACGCAAACATTGACAGAATGAGAGAACCACAACAGTTGGAGACTTCAATGTTCACTTTAAATAACAGACAAAACATCTAAACAGAAGATTAACTAGGAAATAGAAGCTTGAACAACAGGATAAACTAGATCTAACAGACATAGTTCATTCTACTCAACAAACACAGAATACAAATTCTTCTCAAGTGCACATGGAACATTCTCCAAGATAGGTCATAGGTTAGGCCACAAGTCTAAACAAAGTTAAAAAGATTGGAATCATATGAAGTATATTTTCTGACTACAATGAATGAAATTAAAAATCAATAACAGAAATAAAATTGGAAAATTTATAAATATATAGAAATTAAACAATACATACTTAACCAATGAGTCAAAAAAGAAAGTAGGAAATACTGAGAGATAAATAAAAATAAAAATAACAATATTGCG